TTTAATCTTTTTAATCATAACAAAATATTTTCATTTTTAATCATACTTAAAAATTAAGATTCAATTATGTGTATGCTTGCTTTTCTGAATTTGACCTATACGAATAGTTATGTAGTTTCCTCGAATACACCTTGCCTAGTCAGCAAAATACTTTGCATTTGTGTCATTTTTATACACAACAACTGTGTTTTATTATTTAGGGCTAACAAAAACATTTTTCATTTTCATTTTAAATAAAGCGTCTCGTAATTTTAACGTAGTATCGATCCTAAGTATCGATTACTTCATTTATCATGATTCGTCGTCATTTCCAACCATAATTCTGACGTCGTCATAGAATTGAAGTTTGAAATGTGATTACGAAGAAAATAAATTTTTCAATAATGCAAACTAACTAACTAACTAACTAACTTTCCATATATTGCAAAATTCAATAATTTTGCAATATATGGAAAGTTATTGCAAAATTCGGACACTGATTACCGTTGATTTAATGGCCTCGTAAGAGCCATTTGAAACACTATCGTCTTAACAGAATCCCGAGCTAAGGGCCCGGGCCTATCGGCGAAGAGAAGCGATTTTGTAGAAGGAAAACATTACGGCAAACGCCACTGAAGTTGAGATTTGTATTGCGGACTTAACTATTTCTGCAGTAAAAGAAAATTAAGAGTACACTTAGTTTTAAGAAGTACTATAGTTTTTCTTAAAAATAAAAGACGTATAATAATATATAATAATTATATTTACTTTAACTACATGTATGCTTAAACGTATTAAATATTAAATTAGATTTACATTTAAAATTTGCCGATGAGAATCAAAGTGCTGATGCATCTGTAGATGACTAGCATATATAATATGTGTTAACGGAAACGAAGTGATGAATCGGTAATGTTTCGAAGATATGAGCAGTCCTTCAGCCTGCAAGGATACGTATAATACGGAATATACGTACGGAATACGTAACATATATACGGAATAACCTCTCTCTAATACCTTTTATATAAAGGACAGCTGAACAATAGCAAAGAGGTCCTGTTAATGCTGTCACTTAATTATCTAATATATAAAATTGTCACGCGTCACGGTGTTTGTAATTGAACTCCTCCACAGCTTCCGATTTTCGTGAAATTTTGTGTGCATATCGGCCAGGGTGGAGAATCGGACAACATTTATTTTTCATCCCCCTAAATGTTAAACAGTTTTTTCTACCCTACAAATTCCCTAGAAATAATTTATATGGCAGAGCAATGTTTGCCGGGACAGCAGTTTTTTTATATAAAAAAGCAGTACCCTTACTAGGATAACATTATCCTGTGTTGTAAGGACACCAAGACATCGGATCTGGGCGCAAAACAATTACTGTGGGTCACACAAATAATTCTCCCACTCGGGAATCGAACCCACAACCCCCGGTGCCGATGTCAATACCGTGCCATTTGCACGACGGACTCATCAAAATATAATGATAAAAAGTTTGCATATTGATATTATGATAAACATAAAAATTGAAGAAAATCTTCTCATTAACTTGACAACTGATATTTCGATAATTACAATAATTAATTTCGTAGTATAAGCGGAAACTTGTTATAAATTTTTGAGAAAAAATATGTATGTGTAACACATATATTAGCATTTATATTAGGATTCCGCGGATCGGAATAAAATTAGAAGCGCTTTTATAAGACTTTCTATTTTAAGTTTAGTTAAAGCATTAAACACTTTGGCTGTTGCTCAACTGAAAACTTCATTACATTCCATTTTTTAGACTGACCAAAAATTTATCGAAACAATCATTCAACATAACTATTATGAGATAAATAAACAGTTACTTTCAATTATCATCGGATATGCTGCTGGCACGTTTAATTCCTGAATAACAAACACTTGTTGACAGAAGCTCAAACAGTCAGCAACATAAACAGATCCTAATGTCAAGACAATCGAGCAAAATCACTACTTTTATCTGAATTTTATATTGTAATGAGAATATTTATATGTTGACTAGCTGACCCAGCAAACGTTGTTTTGCCATATAAATTATTTCTAGGGAGTTCGTAAATCTGAACACATAGAAAAAGAATTTTCGGAAATCACCCATAAAATGTTTGAGAGGTAGGAACAGTTTGTATGGGAAAATATTTTTTTTTTCTCTATTTCAACTTTCCATGCAGTTTTTCATAATTTCTCATCGTTTAAACCTTCCCTGGACCTCCACAAATGTTTCAAAATTAACCAGATCGGTCCAGCCGTTCTCGAGTTTTAGCGAGACTAACGAACAGCAATTCGTTTTTATATAGTTTTCTACGGAACCGCACAGCGCAATCCTAAGATGCGCTTGACCTTTTCAATAAGCATCGGCCAGCTCGTTGGCCTTGTCGGCTTTAAATAGTAAACTCACAATCGATATGCTTAAAACATGCAGCCTTTTGATATAGAGGACGAGCATTTAATGTCATTCCAGCTTTGAATTAACATATAAATGCGTAACACTCTTCCGCACGTGATCAAAATTCGGGTACACTCGGGGGGAAAGCTGCGGACGGCGAGGGACAATTCTGACTGCTCCGCTCCAGGTGGACGTAAATCACTCGTCTAGACAAGTTTTACGCCGGCGCTGATGCACGCACCGCGTATAACGTAAGCACTTTATTGTATTGGATTTTCCCGTACGACTGTACGGCGGAACATTCGAAGGAAATCAAGTTCGGTGTTGTTTTGTTCTACACTATCAGCGATTCCGTTGTTTCCGATCAGGTATTATAAATTGAAAGCAATAAAACCATTTGATCATCGTACTTAGGTAGTTCAATATCTTCTATCTTCCTTTATGTAAACATTTTAAAACAAACACCCTCAGTCTGTCGGTTTATTTTTGAGGTTATTTCTCGTATACCTCTGATATGACCCACATGATTTTGATTTTAATATGCAGATAGAAAGAAGAAATTAGGGGATAGATCTATGATGTGAGAGATATACAAATCTACAATAGATGCTCACTGAAATTACATTCAGTAACCGACACCTTCGTTTCATCCAAATATCAAGAAGAATTTTATATTGACCCTGTGTCACATACAAGGACAAAAGGTAGACGTCCACAGTACAGTCCACAGCTTGAATACTAAAAATCTTTAAAAATCTCTACCAGTAGTAAAGTGCTAAGCGAACTGAATCGTTATAAGAATACCGATTTGCAATGATCAGTTTTAAAACCGCTATTCTATCTAATCCGCGAAGATCGGCCGCAAAACGTTATCGCGTACGTGCGTTACTTACTTAATCCCATCGATAACGATCTGGGCGTATACAACGGAATTTTAGAAAACAGTTTTGGAAAACTGTTAGTGTACGATTTGATAAATGTTGGTAACATTAAATATTTCAGAGGCCTTTGCACTTTGGACACAACATGCCACAGCTGATCAAAATCCTCTATATGCAGCCTTTAGTTTATCTGCATTTTACATAACGTCAAATTCAAATAAGCAAGGATTGAACTGTTTGTTAAAGAAGCTATATATTTATTTAAATAAATTGTGCCCTATATTAGCGAAGACACATTGTCTTCAATTTATACAAAAACCAGCCAAGTGCGAGTCGGACTAGCGCACAGAGGGTTCTGTACCTATAATCTATAAAAACTGAAAAAAAAATGTGTTTGTTGTATGGGAGCCCCAATTAAACATTTTTGTTCTGTTTTTTAGTATTTGTTCCTATAGAATAAGCTCTTCTATCTTATTCTATAACAAGAAATGCTTCTATTTCTTCTCTTCTCCCAGTTTAAATGATAATAAATTACACAACAACGACCAAAAACATTTTTGGTACATTATTTGACAGCTTCGTCTAACCCTAATGCTTTAGCTAAAGTCTTAGACCGTTATTAGTTGATTTTATTACCAGCCACGATCGCATTTAGGAAACATAGATACATAAATTATCTAAGAAATGATTAAAGATCAAAATACACATCAGTATTACGTTTTAAAATGAAAAACAAAACTCTCCCCCAGCCCGTCCCCACACTCGGAATCAGAATAAAAGATGGTACATCACGAACCTCCGGATCCCATTCTCAAATTCCGAACGCACTGCTCGCATAAACATGGCGGACGTCAGAAGGTGTGCTTTATAAAAATAAAGAGCGATTTATTAAAGGGTGCACGTTTGGATCCCGGTCACGTACGGCGCCGGCCAGATTTGAGCCGCGCAAAGGTACGCCACTAGTTTTTCCACTTTGGTATAAAGTTTTTTTCCCTCCGTCCCCTCCCGCCCCTATCCTATATTGAAATCGGAGCGGAACTTTTGAGGATGCCATCGTACGTGTTCCCGATTTGAATGGACCACGGCGGTTTCGATTTTGGATGGGAGTTTTGCGACTTCATTAAAGCAACACTACGATAGAGAATGTTCAGTCTGTTGACCTACACGGAACCGCCTCGTTTAAATATTCTGCGGCTGATGTGTTTGGTTGTCAAGTTTTTCCGACATCTCATTAGGATGGACAGTGATTACTAATTCACCGCCGTCAACTATTATTTACTCATCACCAATTATTACGAAGATTGCTTACGTCATAACGGAGTTTTCTTACAACGATTAAATTTACGTGATTATTTGTATTTACGTAAATACGACATATGATTAAGTAAAACTAATTTTAATTCTCACGGGACCATCGCTGTAAAGTGTTCGAAACGTTGAGGATTTAAAAACATAGTAAAATAAATAAAATGCATTCAATAAAATGTGTAAATTATTTTTATTTGTCCATTGTTTTCTAACGTCATTCATAAATAACATTGAGGATATCTGAACAACTGATGCGTTATGACCACAATTTATAATTGTGCTAAAATGTATTTAACATGTATAGTACCAGTCGAAGAAAAATTGGATGAAAACCATCTTATTGAGTGGACACTTTGTAATCAAATTGTAATGACACCGGCACCAACTTAGAACATCACATTATGTACTTATATAACTCAAACCAGCTTCGAACCGTAGTGAACATTTTGACGCTCAAACAAGGGTTCCGTTGAACGGCAGCTATTCTCAACGTATTCCGGCGGTGCGTAATTGATTTCCGAAATCGAAATCCACGATCTGTCAATAGGATTATCCTGACCTTCGGCGTGTGAGGCCCGCATCCCGCTACCTGATGCGCAGTCACGTCCCGCGCTCTGAATGGCAAATCACGAGGTAGACCTTCGGGGCCTTCGGGACCCCGTATGAAAATAAAATGATTGCGAGGGGTCCGAGACGCTGTATTAAAATATCCCCCAGGGGCCGGACTCCGACGAGCACCTGATGTTCACGCGAACGCTTTGCCGGCCCCGTTCGGATTGCGTTTGTAATAAATGACATGGGAGGATTTTATATTGTCTCTATCTAAGTATACGTGAACTTTTTTTTTGCTTTTGTTACCTATCAAACGCTTTTGTGATCGCCTATTAAAAAAATATTAACTATAAACTGTTACTATTACAAACGAACCACGTTTATGAAAATTTACTCCTGCAAAATAACATTATACTAAAATGAGGTGAAAATGCAGACATCCAAAGTAACACTGTAAAAAGTCAATTACTAATGATGGGGCGGGGGGGCATAGTTGACTTGAGATATAAAATCGTAAAAAGATTTTTCCGTATTATCAACGCGCAAAACAATACACTACTGCAACAAGGTCACTTCGCGTACCTTTCACCTATATTCTTTTCACCTAAATAATTTCAATTAAAGAAGGTAATTCTCAATCAACAGATAGCTTCTGTCCATCAAAATTAATTTTGGTAGATAGAAGCTATCTGGTAGTACCTTGGTAAAATAAAAGAAAAATCACTCACAAATTAACATTTTATGTAGATGGAGGGCTAGGTAGATATAATAGATCGACTCGGCATTAGTTTGCATGAATTAAGGCGCAGATATCAGCGCTAGATTAATGCAGATATCACTCTAAGGCCTTCCGGAGCTACAGGATGTTTCATTTATATGGATATTAGATAGGATCTTTAAATCTAGTCGTTATTAAAAGTATTATAAACTATGCTTTAATTTGTTCTTTGGGGGCAAAAATAAACTTGTAAAAAAATAATAACGTGACAGTTGTTTACCTATATTATGTACTATGTTTTATTTACGATACAATAACTATTGTTGAAAGGATGAACAATGAGATTATTTTTTTATTTCATTTTGGCTAATTGTTTTAAACTTTTAATAATGTCCAAACCCATCAGCCATTAAATTGAGGCTGAAGAGGACGAATTGGCAAGAAACTATGCAGTTGGTTATGTATTAATTTTTAAGTTAGAAGTATATTAGTATAAGATTAAGATCAAATAAACGCATTAACCACGCACCCAATATGCTAAGGTCTCATTACTGCACAATGCAATTAAGGTCTTAGGAATCTTAAACAAATTACACGATCGGTGAAAAATTTAGTACACAGAAATATACTTTATTTCTACGTGAATATCTGAAATCGAACAATAGTACTGTTTCGACTTCAGTTCGTAATGTTTTCGATTCCAAGAAATTTATTTCATCACATCAATATGATGAACTAAAAACCTGTGATTTTCGTTCTGATGCTCTCTCCTGAAAAGTGTAAACGCGGGTTCTAAAAATCTGCCTCATAATCTGGACTTAGTGCTAAGATTTTCATGTTAAATATTAAAGTCTAACGAGAAACTTCGCTGCTTCGCTCCCGTAAGTTGTATAGTGATGTTAACCTTCCTCAAGAATTAGGCTATCAAATGCAAAAATATTTTTTTAAATCCGACTAGTAGTTCGAGAGATTAGCGCGTTCAAAACAAACAAACAAACCCTTTTTAGTTTTAATTAATATACTATGAGTATTTATAATAAAATCATCCTGTATATCGCACAGAATACCTTAACAAGGTAGCGCAATCTCAAGGGGTAGCTGAATAAATTGCCTCAAATAATTCCCGAATTAACATTTTTAATCTGCGACGAGATGTTGCAAGAATGAATTACGGTGCCATTTTGCTCCCTTAAGATGCTGAGAATTGATAACTCTTAACGAATAAACTACTCTCTGTGTACCTATATAATGGAAGACTTTTTGACTTAGAAATAATTCTATGATTGTAGAATTCTTGCTGAACTGTAAAGTAATAAAAATTATATTTGAGTGATAAGTTTGATATAAAAACGATTCAAGTAACGTATTTTAGGTGTTGTGAAAAATATCAAGACATCGTATTATTAAATTATTAAATCAAAATATTTAAAGTAACTTTATTTTTGATACACATCATCTCCAAAAAGATACTAATTTCTATATTTCAAATTATGAATGTTTAGTAATAAGTAGAATGCTACTTCTAAACGCAGCACCCTAAATAAAATAGGGCTCCTATTTTATTGTTCTAATTAAAAAACCTTATTTGATCTTAAGAATTAATTTATTCTATAATTTTAATTAATTCTTAACGCTTGTGCTTAATGTTAATGCTTGTTGACAGTATTAGTAAGGTACGGAAGAAAGCATTGCGTGATATTTGTAAACTGGATACAGATTATACTTTTCACTCCGGAAAAAAATATTAAACTTTGAGTTGATTTGTGTAAAAGATAGACAAATAAATAATCATCTGTTATTTAAAAAAATACTATGACGAAGCCGTCGGTAATGCTTGTTTAAATATTGTTAATTTAATACGTCAACAAGAAGGCCGCACCTAATGTATAATAAAGTGACTCCGTCACAGCGACGCCGGAGGTTGTGGGTTCGATTCCCACACGGGAGTATTTGTGTGATCCACAGATACTTTTTTCGGATCTGGGTGTTTGTCCACGTGAATAATGTATTTGTAAAACGCCCTTACAACACAATTTTATCCCACATTAAGAGAAATGTGTTTAAAAAAAACAAAAAAAGTGAAGATGACTAACGCCCTAGCTCATAACATATTTAAGACTGAAGGGGTAAGGTAAAATTTCGATAAATTTCGACTTAAAACATGAGGTAAAATTATCTATCTATCGCTATCTCAGCTCATCCAAAACGCATCGACCGCGTTCAGCTCATCTGTCTCCGGTGCAGCATCCACAAACACACTGGCTCCCGGAGAATTCACTACATGGAACCATCTAGTTATACTAATTATTACCTAACTGCTACCGATAATTTTACTATCTTTTACAATTTTAGGCCTTCAATGCAAGAAAGATGTAACAAGTTATTGTTCTTCGTTAATTTCAGTTCAAAAATTATGTAATATATTTAGGATATCATAAGGATATAATCGTGTAAAGAAAGCTTAAGTTGTTTTAAAACATAATATTCTATACAATGTTTTAAATATATATTCTATAATTAAGGTAACATCACTCTAATCCCAGAGTACGGCCTAACTCACCTTACCGTGTAAGTATACCACAAACCGAAAAAAACATAAAAAACACTAAAAAAAGCTTATGGATTTTCGCATAATAAAAAGTCTCAAAGACGCGTACGCTCAATAATTTGTCTCCCCGAATCCGCCGCACGAGTGCGCGTCGGTGGCACAAAACGCCGCAGTGTGCCGCGTCCCGCCGCCCATAATCGTATATCAAGCGGTCATTTGTGCTGTGAATCACTCACCTGACCGTGTCCCGCGGCGCCCTGATCTATGGCCAGCTTTATTGGGGCAGTTTTAGTGCCGCCATTGCCGGCCTCTCGTCGCTGGTGGCTGCAAAGCTCGTCACCAAACGACATATTTCACGCTGACATATTTCACTGGAGTGCTCTTTCGATGCGTCGTTTACTAAATTTTTATCGGCGCGAAAACAATTCCACTGGATTTTCTCTAAAATAAAGCCATCCACGTGAAAAGCTCGTGCACCAACGGTTTGTGTTATAACTTTTTAAGTTCAAATGCACATCAAGAAGTTTATATTATAGTTCAATGATTAGGTTTGTTACTGCTTTCAAACGAGTGACAGAAATTAGCATGGCTTTGAGCCGTGATAGCTCAGTATCCGGGCGCTCGCTTTCAATTCAATATACTCGAGCAACCGAAGTTCGAGACCCGGTGCTAGAACCAATCACAATGTAAATTTTAGTGTTGAATTATCATGCTAATTGTGTGAAGAAAAATATCATTTTCGAAATAATAACATCGTGGGGTTTCATCATACTCACATACTCGCCGGGTTTCACCACCTAGACGCCCATCGGCAGGGCCACGCGAACGCTTTCGCACACTTCCGCGAAACTTGTTTTTTTTTGGTATCGGGGGGAAATCTTCGTAAGTCTGTCATTCTATGACGGGGTTATGTGGGATTCTTACCCACTAAAACCCCCTCGGTGGCCACCTTCTGTACGTTTGGAGGGACTCCGGGATCTCCTACGGAACGCACCGGTGTCCCTCGGTACTGGGCGTGAGCACGCCTCGGAGAAGGATAAACCTTCCCCGATTCACCCGCCATTTTGCAGCAGCTCGAGGCCACTTCGTGCTGCTGCCGATCCCTGTCCCCTTTTAGTTGCCTTTTACGTCAGGCAGGACCTTAGTTCTATTCTAGAGCTCGGGACTACAGGGCTGAACCTACCAGCACTGGCCGCCTCAGTACCCTCACATTGGGGAGCAACGCCCCTCTCCCCCGGGTAAGGCACCCTGGAAAATTCAGCACGCCTTCCTGCTTAGATCCTTTTACACGACCAACAAACACCCCGAGTTCGCTGGCCAGAGGCCATCAGAACTTGTGGCCTAGCCCACGAATTTCATATCCAGCGCACATGAACACCCACAAGCTATTAAAATAAAACAGCCATGTGCGAGTCGGACTCGCGTACGCAGGGTTCCGTACCATTATCTATAAAAACGGTAAAAAACATCAAGTTTGTTGAATGGGAACCGCGATCAAATATTTTTATTCTCTTTTTTAGTATTTGTTGTTATAGCGGCAACAGAAATACATCATCTGTGAAAATTCCAACTGTCTAACTATCACGGCTCATGTGATACAGCCGGTGACAGATGGACAGACGGACAGACATACAGACGGATAGACCGACAGTCAGACAGCGGAGTTTTAGTAATACGGTCCAGCTTTACCCTTTGGGTATGGAACTCTAAAAAGGACGCCAATTGAAATTTTGAATTTAGAATTCGTACGTACGTACAGTCGCAACAAAAAGGACATCCGCACAAATCGACGCTAAACCGCAGTACGCGAACGAGCGTGTAACATTCGTATTTGTATGCAAATCGGACGCCGCTGCAGGTGTGTCCCGTGTAGGGGCCGCACTCTAACCTCGAGTGTTAGGTCTGATTTCCGTTGAAACGATTCAAAACCTGACATAATTTTGTAAGAAACATTAAAATAAGTTCCGTTAATTTACATCCATGCCAATGGAGCGAGCGAACCTAATGGCAAATGAGGAACCATGAACTCTCACAACACCAGAGATGTGTCTGGCGTATTTCTGACCACTTGACTCACAGTCAATTCCCTCACTCACCGGATGAAATGATAAAAGATATATGCTGATGCTTCTTTTGTGAGAGTGTGGTGCTTCTTCTCCGATGCCTATCTATAGCCACCAGTGGTAGGGCCACACAGCAGCCTCGGCTGTTACACGAATGGGCAGGCTCGTCCGGGTAAGTACCACGACCTCACAGAAGACCAGTGTAAAGTGGAAGTATAATACTTTCGCGTTTCGTCTGGTGAGTGAGGTGGCCGGAGCCCAATTTTCAATAGGTTGTCAACACATCTGGAACCCTTGGGTATAGCAGATGTCCATGGGTGGTGCAGTATTCACTGAACATCAGGTGAACCGTCTGCTCGCTTGGTAACTTTTCACATAAAAAAAAATATGTATATAACTAGTTAATAAATACACTTAATTGAAAAAAGTAATACACAGTTTGAAAAAAACGCTGCGAACGAAGACGCAATACGAAGAATAAATGCTACGGGATGGATTTTATTAAAACACAGGAGGAAGAAATTATAAACGAGTGATAAATTAAATTAACCTACCTCACTGGCCTGTTTCATCATACTTCTGTACAAGTGTCTCCATCCCATTCCTCCACTAATTTTTACGCTTTATCGCGTGCTCTGGTAAGCCATTTCTTCAAAAAACAAATAAAGGAACAATGTTTCTTTTTAAATTGATAAGCAATTAATCAACGATAAAATAAAAAATTGTAAAGTCCAAATACTTTTCTTCGTCGAAGCTTTTCTTCAACGTGTTTAAACTCTGCAAATACCACAAATACCTCGTTACCAACCGCCTGCATAAAAGCTATTGTCGGTGTGGAAAAATGCGATATTTTCTCCCCGAGCGTCCGGTGCCATTGTGAGCAGGTATTCAGAAAATTAACTCGCTCCAGACGATCTTCCGCTGAACTCTATTGGAAAGTTCGCCGCAGAAAATGCCAATTCCATTTTAGAAATCTCAATGGAGTTTAATATCACCACAACACTTGACGTGGAAGTCTTGGATCTGGAAAAATATGGTAGATGTTTATCTGCTCCAAAGAAAACTGGAAATTGATGCAGAGAGTCCAGAAAGATATGGTTCACTCTTTAGATAGTAGTTTAGAACTTACCCATTTGGGCACATTACTTGACGGTGAAAGCTTACGCATTGCTGTATGAATCCGTCTTGGGGCACCGATTTGTCAGCCACACCAATGCCCTTTAATTGTCAATGTAGATAAAAATAGTCCAAAAAGCTTGCTGTGAAAAAAGATCCCGATACAATTTCCTGAATGACATCATCCTTAGGGCTTATTTCATTTGCAAGCTCCTTCTATTTTTAGATTTAGATTACATTTAGAGCCCTGTGGCATTTTTCATGACGTAGACAATTTGGCTGCCTCTTATCTAAGGGCTACTTCAGTCTAAGCCGAGGCGGCATCAGAGGCAGGTGAAGTAAGTGGAGTAAATATGAGTCACTTTGTTCACATTATGTATTTGTGCCATTTGCTGTTGAAACTTTAGGTGGGGTCCCTGCAAATCGTAATTTTTGAAAGAGTTAAGTCCGATAGACTTCTTCCGATATTCACCAAGGAACTGCAGCTAGCGTTTTTGCACCATGCCGCATGGACTAGGTTTATTAGATAACATGTAATATAGTTACATCATATTTAGTAAATATTGTTTCATGTGATAATTAATGTAAATATGAAGTAATCGTACCTTATAAGTATATTTATCATTTTCCTAAAATATCTTTAGTAAATATAAAAACTTCCGGGACTCTTTGATCCTAGTTCTTCTAGCAAGAGTCTTCAAAATATCGGATATGTACAAAAAATTAAAGCCCAAAAATTACGGCCAAAACCTTAGTACATGAATCAACAAGTATTTTATACATTGAAACTAAATTGCAAAGCCAAATTTAACGTGGATTAACAGTACTGAATTAAACTAATTTACCGCCTTTGATTTTTGTTTTAATGTCGGGAATTAAACACTTAATATAAAATCTATGATCACGGGACATGATCATAGACTTGAGATGAGTTGTTTTACGTCTGTTCATTAGCCTTAATGTCCTAATGTCATAGTTTTTACGAGCTATACTGTCAACTATTTATTCATTTGCACAAATCGTGAACAAAAATTATGTCGTTAAAACATGTAGAAAAAGTACGAAAAGATTGTTGCCGCTGTGGGAATCGAACCCACGTTTTCGGCATTCGCGGCCTGACGCTTTAGCCACTGAGCTAAACGGCTGATTGCCACAGCGACGAAAATCTTAACGCCTTCTTTCTACATTTTTATTTAGCATTTGAAGCAATGCTTGGCACATCTATGTCGTTTTATATTTATATATAAAAAAAGATCAAAATGTAGTATTCTTTCACCTTCACAATTATACGAAAGTGGCTATTAACATTCTATAACAGAATACAAATTGGCAACGTCGCATCGGGCGTGCTAACGCGACAAACTGCCTCGAAGTATCGCAGCAAGTACTAAAACTGCTATCAAGGTGGACAAAGTTTTGCAAAGGAACGATAACAGTAGTGATGGGATGGATGAGAGAAAACTCGTACCTATAAATCGTACCAAATACTTTCTTTAACACCATTTTTAATCCAATACTTCATATAATAAATTATGCATTATGTAAAGAATAAATATGTCTTTAATCTAATTTCTGAATGTAAGTTAAAATTAAAAAGTCCCTCCTTGTGACAGTGTCATCAAGACATTGGACTGACTGAGTACGCAGTCTATTCTTCATTGTGAGTAAACTTTTACAAAAAAAAATAAGAGTATACAAATTTAAACCTATATGATACGAAGTCCAAACTGCATTCTTACGAAAATTAGTTACTACTGTTACTGTTGCTTTTTTTCTTTTTATTTCAAAGGAAAAACAACTGTGCGTGGAAAATAAGTTCATCTATCGACACTTAGAGCATAGATAAAGTTAATGTATAACCAAAAAAAGTAAGAAGAAGAAAGTAAGAAAAAGTAGAAATTCTATTAATTCGATTCTGCAATTATTCTGATACAAAAACCATCACCGATTGACTTGTTGCCATTTCACATCAAGCACTTCACATAAGCTTGATTTTGCATTTTTCTTATAAAAACATATTGATTCATTAAGCAAACTTTTTTATTTGTTCACGTGCAATAACTTTAGGCGAAATAAACATACCTGATTTAAACGGAATTGGTACAGTTGTTATTGGTTTTCGTCCCTAGTGTTGAAAGGAAGCCAACGAAAGTGAATTCCTTTCACCTGAT